AGATATTATTTACAGAAAATGTATTTTAATTACGTAGTACTTTTTTTTTTCTTCTTTTTTTTTGACCTCACTTTCTTTTTCTACTTTTAGAATGTTTATTAGAACTGGACAGCAGTAACTCTAATACAGTGGTTCAGTCAAACCCCAGCTCTGACCTATGGGGTGACTTCTCTAGCTCTGCAAGGTAATATGATTAGAGACCTTGATTCTTGACCATTGAATATGTTCCTGTACTCAGATATTACTACTGATCACTAAATATTTTCATTAAACTTGTCTTAAACCACTACCTTTATAAGTGTGTAAAAGTATGTAAAAGCTAGAATCATGTATTTTTTAAAAATGTTTTTTCTTTCGTTCTTTCTTTCTTACTTTCGTTCTTTATTGCTTTCTTTCAGCACTGTTCCTCCTCCAGCATCACGCCAAGAACCCTCTTCTGGGAACTGGGTCCAGTTCTGAAAAAGTTTTATCCTCCTTCATTCCATTATTGTTCCCATTCCTCCATCAAAACTACTGCAATTAAAAGATACTGCATGATTGTATGGAAAATTAGAGGCAAGCTGTATGTAAAGCTGCTAATCATAGCAGAGCAAGGAGGCGAGAAATAGGCTAATAGGAATTATGTTAGTCTTATAAAACAAATCAACCAAATTAAATTATGAAAAAGATTGTATAAAAGAGAGGAACATCCCACGGGAGTTATATGTAAAACTTAATGGTAATGTTTTGAAGATTGTTTCAGTATCTTTACATTTGTCCACAAGGTGTTGGATGTGTCCATTTTGTTGTCATGACCTGTATATGTTTGTCTTAGGTTTGGAGGAGTGAACATATGTGTGTGTTTTGAGTGTTTAAAAAAAGGCAGAGATTTTGATTGAAAGTGTACAATTTAAGTGAGGCTTGGATATGTTGAGCTTAACATCTTGTATATCATAAGAATATATAAAACCTGTACAGTATAAATATACAAAAATACTGATTAAAGGCCACAATTTAGAAAAATTATGTCCCTCAAATAAAGGGATTATATCTAGATATTCATTACATATCCATATTGTCATTTACTTACAGATAACAGATAGTCGTTTACGTGTTAAACTAAAATAAAATATACGAAAGAACAACACACATCGCTTCAAATGTGATAATTTTAAATAATATAATCTCTGTGGAATATGATTCTCAAAAATATTAGCATTTGCCCTTGCAGTATATGAAAAATATTTATGTGTTCCAATGCTTTATGCCTAGCTTAGTTTATGGAAACAAATGCAATCATATTACTGTTATGGAGGCCCATAGCTATTGGATATCAAGCCTCTCGACTCCAAAGTACAGCAGGCATGTCTGCTGTTTTGTCACCCTTACAAAATATAAAAAGTTATTATCATGTTAAAATTTTTCAGCCAAAATACCACAGTTACTATACAGTACTACACTGTCGTGGATTAAATATTTTACTCTTTATTCTATTATGGTCTTACAGTAATAACTGATTGCTAATTTTATTGTAGGCAGACAACATGGTTACCATGACGTACAATTCTTCTATCCGTAATTGATCTTTGTAGCCATTTTTTTTCTCAAACATACAGAAATTTGCACATATTAGCATGACTCCTCAAGCATTCACATTTGACTAATTCGCTTGCCAGAGTTTGTGGAGGGATTTGGAAAGTAAATAAAATCACCACAAATACAGATGGTTAATTACGTAATATTGTGCTTATCAGTTTCTGCTGGAAAATCCAGTTTAAGATAGTAAATGTTGTGGACCATGGTAGCTGGTCTAAGATGGTCATTAGTCATGTGCTAGACCAGTGTTTCTCAACCAGAGGTCCGTGGACCCCTAGTGGTCCTTGACATAAGGCCAGGGGGTCCGTATAAAGTATACATTTTTGTATACATTTTGTATATTTTGACATGACATGTTCCCATGAAAGAAAAATCCAATATAGCTGATGATATGGCCAAATACTGGACAAGTCGGCTAACTTGAATTATACTTGACTGCATTTGGTCCTCACAAAGACACAAATGATGTGAGTCAATTTTGTTCTGGGGGTCCTTGAGGATGGTTCTGAATTGGACTGGGGTCCGGTACGCCAAAAGGTTGAGATTCACTGTGCTAGACCATCTTGGACCAGCAACAAATCAGCACCCAGTTCAAGGTTGTTTTTGGAACTTGTTGGCTGGTTCTCTAATGGCGAGGTTGGACCAGCTAGAAACCAGCTAAAAACTGGTACACAGGCCATGCAGCTGGGTCTCACATCTGTTGATCTAACTAGATAACATCTTCCTGTTAGCTGACTTTTCTGAGCTCAGCTGCTTCGATTGGTTGTGCAAGAACTACCATCACTCTAACAGCCTGTACTTCTCAGTTTGGCCACCAAACGTCTCTGTCACCCCAGTGCTGAGTATTTTCATAATACATGCACACCTGCTCCTTGTCGGTCGTGAGTAATAACCTGTTAATACCTTTTGTAGTTCCCTTAATTTGTGTGATCTAGCTAGTTTGTTCACAACATCATTCTGTTTGGCTTAGATTTTAATTCTTACAAATGTTTGTCTGCACCTTTGACTCTTTCACTGGGTTATATGGATTTAACTGGTTAACATAATGAATTGGATTGCTTTTGAACTTTGAACTGGGAAATCTATTAATGGGTTTTGAGATTTTGAACCGTGCGATTGGATCCTGCTTCAGTTGTTGATTGTCATAAATATACAATTCATGAGTGCACCAAGACCTAAGACACTTAGTTAGTTGATACCTCGTTTTTCTCAACTGTTGTATACACTTTCACCAGATTATGATGGTTGTACTCAATTTCTTTTTGAAATGAGTGAGTATGGATTATCATAAATTGGTGTAATTAATAAAAAGAAATAAATTAACTAAAAACAATAGAAACATTATAATACACCAGTCTGACGATTAGTTGGTTGGAGGATATCTTTGTCCAATACTAATGAATAATGACTAACAATTTGGTCTGTTTTTCATATAAAAGTATCATATGGCTTTAGAACACTTGAAATACATTGCATGATTATGGAAAAGAGTGGCCTGTACATTATTCATCATTTCACATTACTTTGGAACAACATGAGAGTGAGTAATGATGATAGAATTTTCATTAGGGAAGCTATTTCTTTTTATGTTTAATTACTGCATGTGAAGTGAGATTTTGAATCAATGAGATTTTAAAATGGTCAGGGCTTCAGTGCAATGGTGCTGAAATAGAAACCAAGCAATGAACAAAATGTCCTTTCTCTCATTGTGGTAGTAGCAGGTTAGGATACAGTGTTAAGATTTGTTTTGAAACATTGCGAGGAAATGTTCTTGGCTAATGTTTGGGGACCAGCTGTTCACTCGACGATGCAAGTTTAAATCGGTCCTCATTCAAAAGTCTGAATGTGTGAGTGACTTCTGAACATGTGTGTTATTCGGCACCACCCTGTCAACATGTCTCACTGATAGATTGTGGACTTGATCTTTCTCTCTTACACACATTTGATCTGCCAGTTCTGCTAAAGTGAATAAAATGTGCTTTAGAATTAAAGGTGCAATCATTAAACTATCCAATCGGACACACTGTAAATTTTATCTTGTTTAAGCTACAATAATTAAAAGAGCTTGGCTAAATTCAGAATAGCATACTATTTTTCCATACAATATCTTTTTATGGCAGAAACAGTGAGAGAAGTATGCTATTCTGAATTCTTCCCTTTTCTCATTTCACATACTGCTTTTCGCATACTGCGTATAGTAGGAAAGTAAGCATGTATGGGCGCTGGGAATGTGGTGTGCAATTTAAATAAACGCAATCATTATTAATTTCATGATTAAGACTAAATACGCAGCAAATTGATTTTCAGATAATTTCTAATAAGGCACTGAAAATTAACCATTGCATAGTTTATTATAAAGTACTGCAATAATCATGTAATCACATTTAAATAATCATGTTTTCAAAGTGTATTTCTTCCAATTCCATAGAATTGCCATACATCTATTAAATCTAATCAATTAACAAGTATGAACATGGTTTAAATATGGCTAGCTGTGAAACATGCACGATTTAATTAATGTATGAGATATAAAATATTGAATTGATATTGAAATTAAAATGAAATTAAATGATGGTTATTATGTGTTTAATACATATTTGGTTTATGAGTACTATTACACCAATGCCATTCTTGGTTAATTTATGAAAATATGCATCACATTAAATTTACTAGTTTGTTAAAATGGAATGAAAATTGTTCCATTCCAATGAATGGAAATTTTATATGCAATTAAAATACATAGGCTAATCTGAAATATTTGCTTAAATATTTCCTCAAAAGTTAAAGTTGTCTCATGGAATTTCATAGCACCTTCCACAACATGAAGCTTGCAGCAGCTTCTGGAGGTTTATTTTGTGAACATATTCTCTAAGGAAGAAACTTTACAAATAAAAAGTTGGTACTTCTGGCATTCCAGTGCTATAAATTCATCAAATTTCTAGACAGATATTTATCTCACGCACGTTTACTTACAAATTAACATATGCAAGATGACAGCATACTTTAACGCTAACATAATTGCACATAAATGTGTTTTAATGTAGTATATCAAATGAAAGGTCATACAGACAGCAGCTGGAATAGTTAGGGCTGTCAAATGATCTTCGTGGATCTTCTCCCTTCAAGTAATGAGCTATTTCAGCTGTTAATCTCTTAACAAGGTGCCTAAATAACTTCAGACTGAAAGGGCAAAATCTGGCACTATAGTGACTTTTGATGTCAGTGTAGATTGTATTCATTCAGTTTCTGGAGCAAATGTTTGCAGTTTTAAATGTTTTCATTTTTTTTGTTTTTGTTTTGGAAAGTCAGGTGGTCTTCATTTATATACTGTGTATTATTTTGTCTAATTTGATAGTCTAGTTGTAAAAAAAAATTATAATCTACTTGCCTTTATACAAAATTATTTTAATTCTATGTATTTTGCAAATACGGTTGTCATATTTACTCCATAATTTACAATGTTATGTTTTCATGGATCAGTTGAAGGAGTCTGAACATAAGCCAAAGACCTATCCGTTACATGTAACTTCACACTTTGTGTGTGTGTGTGTATGTGTGTACAGTGTTGATAAATGAAGGGACATGTTTAAATGCAGAAGTGTGAGACACTTAAAGATCGGTGAAGGCTGTGTGTGTTTGCCCATGCGTGTGTATGTGATTTCAAGTGTGCGTCTGACAGAGGTGATGATGGCTGAAAGAGTTTTATTAATGTGGTGTGGGTTATTTTTAAATCTAGGACACATAGCGTCTGAGTGTTTGTGTGTCTTCTGCTGAAACTTGAGAGGTGTGCTTCTTCTTACTCTTGCGCTCACAAGTGCTCCACGTGAAGATGGCATTTCATGAGCATACTGTAGGTTGTTAAAAGCATAAATATGATTTTAAGACAGGAGTGAACATTCCAATCTTTATGACATTAAGCAAATATACAAGATATATATATAAACGTAGTTACAGTTCAAAATGTTGCTGAAAATAGATGTTTAATAATTCATTTTTGTATGGTAGACAGAGCAAATTGTTAAATTTTGAATCCTTTATTTTGATTAATTTGACATTAACATTTCTATAATTTCTACCACAAGTTCCCTGCAGTTCCACCATAAACCCCTATGGGATCCTACTTCATTATGCTTGTGGGGAGGTCCAGGATAAAATATTTTAACATTTATTATAAATCTGCCCTCATAATCCTTAGTCAAAAACATTAACTTCCTCTCACGACAACATCTTTTCTCTGATGCGTGCACCAGCACTAAGGCAGTAATCCATTCCTTCCAGCAACGTGCCACTCACATGAGATTGCAGCAAAGAACGATCCAACCAATTCCCGATGGACAAGATCAAGTCCTGCCTTACTTTTTTTTTCTTTATTTTTTTCCTTTCCGAGAAGTCCAGTTGGACTTTGGAAAGTGGAGATGGCAGCAATATTTATCTAGACTTATAAACACAGATGTTATTAAGATGCCTGCAGATCTTTAGCTGTCACTCTTAATATTTTTGGTAAGGATTCCATGGTAAAGCATTGATCTTTGTAGGATCCACATTGTTTTGGAGTGTAGTAATGTTGCTGGACTGTGGATGGAGGCCCAAGTTTGTAGAAACACTTTTTGTACCCCTTTTCAGTTCTATAACCCTTAACGACTCTTCTGATTTAGGGCCAGATCAAAACCTTTAGGGCCAGATTTACTAAAAGCTTGCACCAGTGCAAACCCTCTTTTGGTAGGAGTTTCCCATTTAGGCACAACATTTATGAGAGGAGAGTATTTAAATTAATCACGCAACACGATTTACTAAGGTTGGCGCTAGTCAATTTACTGGTATGTGTGCCATAATTTAATGCCCAAAAAAGCATGTCTTAAACCCGACGCTAATTTGTGATGCTCTTGGTAGATTGCATTGGTCATTATGCAAATGATCTGGCTGCATCTGTGTTCTTTAAAATGCACATTGTCAGTAGATTAACCACAGAACTTTCCACTCCCATCTGCACTTGTATGGGATTGCGCTCTCATGCTAACTTACCCTGTTTGGTAAATCTGGCTCTTAGTGTTTACAGCTAAGATATAATGTGGTCAGTTGGGAAAACAAACTCAACTAATAATGCTTCTATGTAGCATATTAAACAGCAGGCTTTTGATTAAAACTGCCTGTTAGCATCAGAACTACTTCTAAAAAGTGATAACCATTGTTCCCAAATGGAGTGAATGACCAGATGACGACAACCTACTGATCTCGGTCCTGTCCTTCCTTTGATGAATCACCCACTGACATCCTTGTCCAATAGCCAGGCTCCTCCCAGATACCTTTCCACCTCATCTGGCCTGCCACGAAGACTGGACTGTGGGTGGAGCAAGGACCTAAGAAGACGAGCCGCAATAGGGCTGAACGCAGCAAACTGCGGTGCCACCTGGTTGAAGTTTTCAGGCTGATCTGACCCCCCTCGTGACTCTTGTGATGCTGAACCTTCCCATTTGGTCCATTGTAGATATCTTTTATATGCTGGGTTGTCTGAAAAGGTCTCAGACCATGGAAGGCTCCCCATGAGCATGGCGTAGATTAGAATGCCTAACGCCCAGCTGTCTATACTGGGAACCACAGACACCAACATTCTTTGAGTCTTTCCAGAGTCCCCTTTTTGCTTGTTCCCATTGTTGTCCACCCCCAAGTGGCCCAAATGATTCTCCTCATTTTTTCTTGCCATCTCAGCCTCAGGCGTGCAGTAAGGGGAGCAGTACCACACACATGGTACCCTGGTGCCTGCAGCCTTCACCATGCCAAAGTCACCAAGCTTGACCCAACGACACTCACGGTCACATAGGAAGATGTTCTCCGGTTTGACATCACGATGGACAAAGCCAAGAGAATGGAGGTGAGAGAGGGCACCGCTGATCTGGGAAGCCACTCCCTGGGCACGGCTCTCTTCCAGACCAACCTGCAATGAAGAAACCAGTTTACCACTTTGGCCAAGGGTGGACACCCCTGATTTAAGCACTAATCAATTTACCGAGCTTGCATCAACCTTTCATTGCAAACCAACTGTTGTAACTGTTATTTACAAAAAAAAAAGTTCTGTTCGTTCATTGCTCACTCTATCCAAATCAGTGGTTCCCAACCCTGGTACCCAACATTACGCATTTTTGGATGTCTCCATAATCGAACACAACAATTTCAGGTCTTGGAGTCTCTACTAATGATCTGATGAGTTGAATCAGGTGTATTTGAATAAGGAGACATCCAAAATGTGTAAAATTGGGGGCACATGTTCAGAAACCACTGATTCAAACCTGGGTGTGTAATCCTGCTCCTGGAGGGCCACTATCCTGCAGAGTTTAGCTTCAGTCCCAATTAAACACCTGATCCAACTTATCTAGGTCTTCAGCATTACTAGAAACATCCAGGCAAGTGTATTGGGATAGGCTGGAGCTAAACTCTGCAGGACATCGGTCCTCCAGGAGCAGTCATCATTAAGATGCATGAAACTGATGTTAAACTTTTACCAACCTCAGGAACGATGACATCATAGAGGTCGCCATAGAGGCAAGGTTGCTGGGCGAACACATAGTGAGTAGGAGTGGAGAATGCGATGCCTAAAGCAGAGGTAAGTGAGGGGTGGGTGCAGAAGGCCAAAGACAGGTTATATTCCCTCAGAAATGACAGTAGAGATGTGTCGTCTCGCAGAAAGAATTTAAGGGCCATTGGGGTTCCTAGATTCCATGCAAATTTGTAGGAATAATGGAGATATTGTCAAAGGAAAAGGAAGAAGGAAGCAGTATACAGTAATCTAGCAGAGTTCCCAGAAATGTGATGTAGCATGGATAAGATCAGATGAGAGAAAGATAAAGCAACATAACTTACCTCTCTTCTTGTGCACTGCTAACTTGACTTTTCCGTATGAACCCTCCCCAAGAAGTTTAATAACTTGGAAGTGATCTAAAGGCTCCAGTGTTTCTAGAGACTGAGCCGTTAAGTGACACAGCTCATCCAGAAGTCTTGTGGCAGTCTGTAAGAAGCAAAACTAGTCAGGGTTGCAGATAGATGTGCCAAACATTCAACACCTAATGTAATTTGAGGGAGAATTTGCATTCCTCGTTTTCCACTTTGTTTCAAAGACACTAAATTAGAGCATCACTATTTACTAATTAGCATGCAAAAAGTCTTGTTTAATACCCATGGCATAGTTCCCATACAGTTTTGTTGTTGTTTTCTACCTTTTTGCGGCATGTCAACAAGGTTTCACTAGCTGTCAAATACCACAAAATGCCATGTTGAAAGTAAACGGGATCTGGCTGGATCAGAGATATACTGCTGGGATCTGTCACTGCATATTATTATAAGGTCACTACAGCGAAAGGGTGATTTGGGGCTCAGTTCTGAGGATTGTCTATTCTGTCAACACATCTTAACTGTCCCCAGACAGCTGTGCTATTCAGCTGAACTTCATAGGATTAGGTGTTCTGTTCAGTAATAGTATTCGTAACTGATCAACATTTATTCATGTAGCATGATCGAATGTAATGATTTGTATTTGAACTGGATGCTGTTTCAGTGTTTTTAGGTTTTTAGTCTGTGTATGTTTTGATGTCCCAAAAGCAGAAATATTACACTCTTTAGTAAAGCAACAGTTCAGGATGATGGGGGACAGTGTTGCATAAGAGGGATAAGGTGCACCTGTTGGGCATCAGTTGTGTGAGGACAGACAGTTCACCAGAAGTTGTGTTTGGTTAACCCCTTGTCAAGAACAGCGGAATGGGCAGCACATCTAAGTTCTTCAGGATTAGTTGTGAATGTTGTAAATCGCTGAATTACATAGCATGTTCTAAAAACACTTTCAGGTATGTGCTATGTAACTCTTCTATAACTTTTAAGCACTTCTATACACATCTATATACATCCCTTGGTGAGAGTAAGAGACTTCTTTCTGAAACATTGGATAATCTTACTGAACTTGTGAATGGCAGTGTACATATGGAATGGAGCACAGCGCATATTCCATGAACAAGTGTCTTATTTGAAATTACATTACATGCTATATGAAAATCTTTTAAAATCTGTGCACAATCCATATAGAAGAGACATTTTTAAAGAAATGAAAAGACTTACTGTCATGTTTGCTGTTTGAAGGCTGAAAGGGAATTTAGAGGTGCAGTTCCCTGTTGATCAGTCTGTCCATAAACTCTAGTCACTGAAAGCTGCAGGTTATACAGGCAACAGCAGGTCAACCAGTCATGAATCAACTTACAGGTTACAGTTTCTTTTGCTTCTGAGTACATATCCTGATTGCTATACTGCATTTGTCCTCAGCTTTATACAGTTCAATAGTCTCTCTGTACTATCTCTCTCTCTCTCTCTCTCTCTCTCTCTTCCATCTTTCTCTCTCCCATAATCCCCTTCTCCTTCGCTTTCCGCCCCCTCCTTTTTGTATCACTTCATTCCCCGTCTTCGTTCTCTTCTCATCCCATTTCACTTCCTAAACTACATCTCTCACTCTCTCTCTCTCTCTCTCTCTCTCTGTCTATCCAAATTCTCCAGTATGCTCACTCACATGCGCTCTCGCTGCCATTACCCCTCCTTTTGAATGTTATGGTGTTCATTGCTGACAGTTCTGTAGAGCTTGTATAACAGACAATTTGTCACTATACTATACTGTCACTATACCCCCCCCACCCTTTCAGTTCTTCTCTCTGATGTACTTAATGCTCTCACATTTTGTACCTTCTATCTTTTTTTGTGATTTAGTGTGATTAATCAAAACCTCCTCATTTACAGCAAATACTAGATTATCTGATTTAATTGCAGTTGATTTGATTGATCAGCATTTCATGGAAATCAATTAATAGCCCTTTATCTGTTTTTCTGTATCATGGATCTGACGAATGTGTTATGATGCTGGCCAGCATGTTCGATTTCTCTCTCAGGGAGCATGACAAATCCAACAGCTGTGAGAGAGTGGTACACAAAACGCTTATATTGCAGATCTCTCTTTCTGCAGGATGTGCCAAGTCCTGACTTTTCAGCTTTTTAAACTCTCTCACACACAGTCATATGACATATCCTTTATCCATATCCCATTCCCTATTCTGCAGCGTTTGGTATTAGTCATCATGACAAAGATTTTGACATTCATGGTTGATTACACTAATACTGGCAATTTTTAACTGTCTGGATCTATAAGCGCAACTATCTGTGAAAATGCTCAGCCAGACGGGGCAGGAAAATGAAACCTACAAATAAGACACAAGTTTATTTAAGGAACAAATATTAAAATCCAAATATAACTGATTATATACAGAACATCAGAAATGATGTGATGATGGTTGGATTATTGTTTTATTAAAGGTTCAGTTGTTGCTGACGCAGTTCAAGAAGTAAACAAAAAAAGAAGCTGTGAGCGTTTGATGTAAAATCATTTTATTGAAAGAAAAATGACAAAAACAATTAAATAATAAAAAAAATAAATAAAAAAATAAATATATAGATATGTATAAAAAGAAAGTATGAAAAATAAACACAACATCCAGGACACAACTGAAGCATCTACATCCTTCTCAATGGGCTTGCAAAGCTTAATCAGAGGGAATTTAGGTGTTTGTTCCCTTCACCTGAATGATTTTACCAAATAATTCTCTGATATTAACACCACTGTAAGCGCTGTATGCATTTGCAAATCTGTTTTCCTGTCTACATGTAGTCTGATGAATCCATCATGAACAATGTCAAAGTTTTTTTCAAGTAATGTAAGGCCTCTTTTTCTTGTTTTCAGTGCATTTCTGCAATATGGTGGCACCTTTAATTTAGAATAAACACATAATCACAGGGAATAAATACAATCTGAAGGCAGTGAGTGCATTTCAAGCTACTGCATTTTGCAATGTTCACAAAAACCCATGGTGCAGCAGCAATAGCATCCATTAGCCCTAATGAAACTATGGACTTTGTTTTGTGTTGAATGCCCAATTTCATCTTCCATTTATTCTACTTTTGCCAAATAGGCCGTGGATCAACATCATTCACTGTTAAAAATTCCTGTTAAACAAACATAGGCTTAACCCTATAACCATTAAAGCAACTGTATGTAGTTTTGCGTATTTTTGTGATCATGGAGCAACCTACAGTTAAATGAGTGGACTTCACTGTGGTAAATACAGTGGACAGGTGTACCACAGCCACTCGAAGGCAAGTCTGCAACCTTTAGCCAAAAAAGCGTAACGGCTAATGCTAACGCTGCTGCATTGGCAGTATGCAGGGAAGGAGACCAGAGGCCATTATATGATTGGCTGAGGTGCCTCATGTGATCCAAGTTAGCCGTCACGATTTTTCCAATGGAAAGTACTACAGACCCTCACATCTCCCAATATTAAGCCAATCTCTGGTATTTCGCACCCACTCACCATTACATACATGCAGAACAGAGGTTTGTGGGGAACGTGAAAAGGAAACGGAAGCCATTCGCCTTATTAGAAGTAAGTGTACCGTCAGAATTATTCTGAAACTGATATTTCAAGGTAAAAAAAGAAAACTGCATACAGTTGCTTTAGCCACTGTGCTGTTGAAGTGGCAACCGTACCTAAAGTCTAACCTTAACCTTCAAATTAGAATGGAAGATAGTTATGTTGTTCAACAAGAATGTTGATTCAGGACTTACTGGTGAAATTACTAACTTAAAAAAAAAAAACAGATAAATAAATAAAAGAGTGCCCGTCCTGAACTGCATTTAATTATACAGTATATCACATTAATAACCACAGTAAAAGGTTTCTAAGCGACACCTAATGGTCATTATTAGCAACTGCCTGCAGCTGATTTTTTGCATACAAACTCCCTTATTGAAATGGCACACTTAATATTTGTATAAAGTGCTATTTTTCTCATTCACTCGATGTATAAAAATCCTTCATTGTAAACAAAGAGCTGTTCAATAAATATTAAATACATAAATTATTAATAAAATAAAAACAACAACATACATAGGAAACGTTAATTGGAGAACACTGTCAAAATGGAGAATGACTTACAAAGGCTGGAAGGTTCATTCCATCCTATCAAACATTAAGGCAAGTCAGGCATCATGGAGATAAGCTGAGGGCTACTGGTGTTAATCTAAATATATTGTACAAAATTGTGAAAAAAAAAAAACTTTTTGCATTTACCCAAAATATATTTTATATATTTTTTTATAGAAATGTACTTTCATGCCACTTGAAGTACATTTTATGTTTTGGCATTTGAATGTTTAAATTAAATACTTTTTTTTTTTTTCAGAAAAAAGTAATATTATACATAGGAAACGTTAATTGGAGAACACTGTCAAAATGGAGAATGACTTACAAAGGCTGGAAGGTTCATTCCATCCTATCAAACATTAAGGCAAGTCAGGCATCATGGAGATAAGCTGAGGGCTACTGGTGTCATATGATGTTGTTGATCACTGTTGTCTGTGTTTCAGGACTCCCAATGCTCTAATGTACCAGTTGCAAAAGAAATACAGTTTGTCAAGGATCTCCACATTGGCCTGGTACAAGTTCCAAGCTGTGTTCAAAGGCGACAGGGAAGGGTAGACCAGTTCAGATGGTGTCGTCCCAATCTGTAAGAAGGTTTAGAAGATTTCTGTTTAACAAATTCTTACTTTTTTCACTTTTATTTCATTTTTGTTGTCTGTCAACCATCATGGTTTTTAAAATAATCTATTTATTCCATGCTTTTCCATCTGTTGTCACCCTGAATCTTCCAACGCATTTGGAGTTAATAATAACATTTCGACATTTGGAGTTCATAAATGTCAATATATATATATATATGTGTATATATATGTGTGTGTGAAGAGTTTATTTGCAAAAACAGATAACTCAGTTTTGTTAATTTTCAAAAATCATGTTTTTTTTATTATTTTCTCATGTTTTTATTGTGTGTTATTTTGTTAGTTAGCTGTATTTTTTTTGTTATTTTTTAACCTAATCAAAATAACCCATAAAAATAACTGTTTTCTTTATGCTTAATTTATTCCTGTGATGGCAGCCATTACTTCAGTCTTCAGTGTCACATGATTTTGACAAATCCATTACATCCATTTTGACAGCTTTTAAGATATTTAAATATTGTTTGATTTCCTACTGTAGGTGTGTTGAATGGTTCTTACCTGTATGAGCACCATGTGGCTGATGACTTGGATGCGATGAGCAAGTTTCTTTGTCTTATAATAATCACTCCCCATTTCTTCCTGTTTTTGCTGGATCCAGTCAAGATGGAACTTGAAGGATTTAAGACCAGAGTACAGCTGTCCTAATGTACTGCTCACCTGTGGGTCAAAAGGAGCCAGATGTTACACACAATCCACATTCACGTCTATCTATCTATCTATCTATCTATCTATCTATCTATCTATCTATCTAAGCAAACTTATGGCACTTGTATGAATTTCTTTGCATTTTTGTTCCAGTCTGGCCTTTTGGTTGGGAGAAGTTATGATTGCTTGGGATATCAGTCTGGTCTTAATTTTGGATGTTATTCATACAAATGTTCTATCAAAAAGAAAGTCTAGATGCTTGAAACAGACATGCAAAAAAAAAAACAGGCAGAGATGTGGATGTTCTACCTCGAGTGATTTCAGGTCTTCTGTTTTGTAGTTCAGCGAGGGCAGGGATGTGAGTGATTGTTCAAAGTCTTTCATCTCATTCTGAAAAATGTCAAGGATTTTTTTAGACAAACAATAAGCTTATTGAGCAAAATGTAAATATGTGTTATTCTGAAATTTATCCTAAAATGAATTAGAAAAGCATTTCCGTAAAGAACTGGTATTTACCCCATGCCTTTCTTGTGATACTAATTTCAGCAGCGTACGCATATCTTGATACAGCATCTGCAGACCCTTTTTTCCTTGTGGTATATTATTGGGACGGGCTGTGATGAAGGTGAAGAGCTCAACGCAAGTCATCACGACAATGAAGGGAAAGGTGGAGTCAGGTGACACTGTCAGCATAAAAAAACAGGATTTCTTATTAATGTCATTGGAACAGCTGCTCTGAGTCACAAGTGTTTCAGTGTGTGTCCCGAACAGCTGTTTTACTCCATAAAAACTTGTATCTAAGCAGAGGGATTTGCATAGAGAGCTCTTCCTCTTGGTTTGTAATGGTTACACCGGATGGGATGGTTTAGAGAAGGATTTCATCCCACAGGAGTTTCCAAGGCATGTATGACATGCATTTGTAACAGTTGTTTGTGATCAATTTCACACTGAATGCACAAAATTAAGAGAGGTGCTGTTTGGATGAACGGATGTGAGTCAGCATTTTTTCCAGATATAATGTTTGTTGTATATGGTGACATGCCTAAATTTAG